AGATAGAACTCGTTGAGTTCGACATTAACTGGTGTAAGGAAGTTCAGAGTTATATATGGCCGAGTGAGAAGTTTTTGAAAGTCTTTGAAACTGAAAGAGTCACCAGATTGGGATTGTGAAGCCGCCATTAGGAACGAAATAAAGTTTTGTTGAAGTTTGTTTGAGAAACGTAGCAGAGAAGCAAGAAGATGAACTGTAATATTGCGAGAGAGAAGCGCGAAACAATGAGGTGTGATTTAGTAGTGCGATAAAATGACGTGTATTTGGGGATTATAAGGGTTTGCAACGTCGCACCTTTTCAGGCTATCGAAGAAAATAATGATTGAGATTCTTGGAAATTTCAAATGTTGCTGGAAAACACAAAGTGAATATGGCAAAAATTAATAATTGGTATTAATTTTGCCATATTGGAGGGTAATTGTTGACACGCTAAAAGTGCAGCCCAAATCGAATAGCCCAAAGAATGAAGCCCAACTAGGCAATTTAGGATAAGACCCAAATATGGTTATTAATGAATGCAGTGGAAGCCCATGAACGCGGTAACATCGTCGCCCAAACTTGCAAGGTGCCCAAGATCTGAGTGAATGAAGTGCCTAGCAGTCACCTAGAGTTATGACCCTGTTCTTGCCCAAACCTTTGAATCGCCCAGGATCTTAGCAAACATAAGATGTTATGGTTATCCAAAAGTGCAGTTATCGAAGCTATTGAGTAATCTTATCACGTTCCACGATTCAAGGAGTTCAGTTGAAGACGGTTGAGTGATAAAGAGTAGTGGCAGCAGTTAGAGACGGTAGTTCCACGATAAGTTGGCCACCATGAAGAAAGTGGGTAGTTATAAAGCAATTAAGTAGTTTCTAAGTGGTTGATCACGAAGAGATCATCAAAGGAATATAAAAGGAAGAAAAGACATAGAACAAAGAATCCCGAATCAAACACTCTCAAACAGAGAATATGTAATTTCAATTTCTTAATTTAGACTTAAACATTTCTTTTCAGTACTCGCATGCTTGCGCCCCTTGGAGGCATTCTGTTTAGTTCCAATTGTAAAGTTATCGCCAATAAAACACCCCTTTTTGGGACTTTGTCTAAAGAGATTTGTTCCTTACACAATTGTCTGATCCCTTTTTAATCGTTAGCGACAACCTGCGCGAAACAATGGGTGATTTTGCAAAGTTTTTACAAGAGTGTGGAATAGTGCCCCAATACACCATGTCAGGGACACTTGAGCAGAATGGTGTTTCTGAAAGACGTAATCGAACTCTAAAAGATATTGTTAGAAGTATGATGAGTAGAACAAATTTGCCTGAATATTTGTGGGGTGAAGCCTTGAAACAGCTATGTAGATTTTGAATAGAGTTCCAAGTAAAGCTGTTACAAATATACCTTTTGAATCATGGACATGACGTAAGCCAAGTTTGGCTCACTTTAAAGTTTGGAGATGTCCAGTTGAAGTTAGGATTTATAATCCATTTGAAAAGAAATTAGACCATAAATAAACTCCTGGCTACTTTATTGGGTATCCGGATAGATCAAAGGGATATAAGTTTTATTCTCCAAATCGCGGCACCAGAATTGTGGGGTCCATTATTGCTAAGTTTCTGGAGAATGATTTTGGAGATAGTGGGGGTTCCACGTTGAGAGAAATTCTTGTTGAACCTAATCAAGTTGTTGTTCCAGTTCCTATCATACAAGAAAGAGTTAGTTCTCAACCAATCGAAGTTGTTAATGAAGAATCGAGGAACCAGGAGGAACCTCCAATTCCTCAAACAACGATTGAATCGGTTCCTGAGCCACAAGTTAGGAGATCACAAAGGAAAAGAAGATCTGCATTGCCCAGTGATTATATTGCATATTTATTGGAGGGTGATTTTAATATTGGGCATATTGTTAATCCTGTAACTTATAATCAAGTATTGACAAGTCCTGATGCAGATAAATGGATAGCTACCATGGAAGATGAAATGAATTCCATGGAAAGAAATAAAGTTTGGGATCTTGTTGAACTTCATCCAGATGCTAATGCTGTAGATAACAAGTGAATTTTCAAAGGTAAATTAGATTCAAAAGGAAATGTTGAACGAAAGAAAGCAAGATTGGTTGCAAAAGGTTTCACTCAGTGAGAGGGAATTGATTATGTTGAAACATTTTCCCCTGTTTCGTCGAAAGATTCTTTTCAAATTATCATGGCTCTTGTGGCACACTATAATTTGGAGCTTCATCAAATGGATGTTAAGACAACATTTTTGCATGAAGATCTTTCTGAAATGGTTTATATGAAACAGTCTGAAGGTTTTGTTGTGAAAGGAAAAGAAAACTTGATGTGTAAGTTAAACAAATCATTGTATGGACTTAAGCAAGCATCTCGACAGTGGTATTTGAAATTTGATGAGGTTGTGACCTCTCGGTTTTGTTGCAAATACTATTGATCAATGCATTTATCTTAAAATCAGTGGGAGAAATTTTATTTTTCTTGTACTGTATGTTGATGATATTCTGCTTGCTAGCAGTAACTCAGGGTTGCTTCATGAGACAAATGAAATGTTGTTTGCTAATTTTGAGATGAAAGATCTTGGAGAAGCTTCCTATGTACTTGGCATTGAAATACATCGTGATAGAAATCGTGGTTTATTGGGACTTTCTCAGAAAGCTTATATACGACGTGTTCTAGAAATGTTTAATATGCAAAATTGTGCACTTGTTGATATATCTATCATAAAAGGAGATAAATTTAACAAAACTCAATGCCCAAGGAATGAGCTAGAAAGGGAATCTATGAAGATGATTCCAGATGCTAGTGCTGTGGGGAGCTTGATGTATGCTCAAGTTTGCACTAGACCGGATATAGCCTACGCAGTAAGTGTCCTTAGCATATTTCAATATAATCCAGGACAAGAGCATTTGAAAGCAGCTAAGAAAGTTATGAGATATTTGAATAAAACTGAAGGTTATATGCTTACATTCCAGCGTACAAATTATCTTGAGGTGGTAGGATATTCAGATTCTGATTTTGCTGGATGTCAAGATGATTTGAAATCAACCACATGTTATATTTTTACATTAGCTGGTGGTGCCATTTCTTGGAAAAGTGCTAAACAGACTCTAGTGGCATCTTCTACTATGCAAGCTGAATTTGTGGCATGTTATGGGGCTACAGTCCAAGCCGTTTGGTTAAGAAATTTTATCTCTGGCTTGAAAGTTGTTGATTCCATCTCAAGACCGATCACCATCTACCATGATAACAGTGCAGCAGTATTCTTTTCAAAGAATAATAAAAGTTCTGGTGGATCAAAACATATTAACATCAAATATTTGGTTGTTAGAGACATAGTTAAAGAAGGACAGACGAAAATAGAGCATATCAATACAGAAGCGATGGTTGTAGATACCTTGACTAAGGGACTCACTCCAAAAGTCTTTAAGACACATGTCACTAATATGGGTATTGTAGAAACATTTGATGTTTTTGGTTAGTGAGAGTTATATATAAGTAAAGAACTATGTTTTGGGCTTGATCCCTTTACGGGGTACGTAGGCAACCCATATGTTTTCGGGTACAGCCCCTTCTGATAATGAAATAATTTTTTCCCTATCCATGAACTATTTTAAGCAATCATTTGACTTATGTCTTTTTATATTATTGACATCTTGAAATATGACGTATAAAGACATAAGATGAGTCTCTTTTGAAAACATGTGACTTCATTTTGATTCGAAACATTATGATGACCGATATGAGTTAGCACAGTTTTTTAATCACATTTGGTGTTAAATTCATATCACATACTACCACATTTGTTGGAGGATGGGGATCCATGTCGATAAGGATGTTGACATTTGTAGCTGTGTGATGGTCTTACATCGTTTAATTGGTGTAATGACTTCCATGTTCAGTGTTAATATTCTTGTTGGACCGGATCATATTATGTAAGGTGTTATCATTGGAGCTGTACTTTTGTGGCCACCTCTGTAGTCTAACCCGAGTGATAAAACTTTGCTATGGCAATCAAATACTTGCCCAAGTGGGGATAATGTTGGAATAATTAATAATTTTATATGTGGGCTTCACATTCGATTGCAAATTTTACGGGTTAGATGTATGGCTCATAATGATATTTGTGTTTGGGCCAAATTTATTAAATGATCAATTGGGCCTTTTACACCTTACGACTTGTAATTAATTTGATATGATAATTTAAAGTATGTGGGCCGAAAATAAACCCTAATTAGAATTCTAGTCGTAATGGGATGGCTCAATTATTTTCTATATAAAGGCTAGGTCTCCTCTCAATATGTTTTACTGGATTGCCCCATTGATAGTTAATACTTTTGTGAGGAGCAAGGAGGGGAAGATTTTGGCTGCTATTACAACTATTATTTATATCAACAATGGCTTCCGCAGGTATATTATTAATTTATTATATGGTGATTCTTGATTCTTAGCATGATTACAATTAAAATTTAACATGTGATTCTTTTATTTATAGGTTTCATTTCTTTCAATTTTTTTGAATTCAATTTCACATTTTTGATGACCTTGTTAGAGTGACCACATTGTAGCAAACATGGAAGCTGAGTGATTTTTATTAAAACAAACAACAATATTTTTCCCACAACACAACGACCTGTTTTTTTCTATGTCGGGCGCTATCTCAAAATTTCATCAAAGTTAAAGTGCATGTCAGATTTTTCCATTTATTTGATTAACAGAAATGAAGAGATTAACCGAGTTTGAATAAAACGAAGAAGTTTGAGTAACTAGTTTGGCACAAACAAGTTCTGAGATCCATCTATTTCACCATGATTTTAGACTCCAATGGTCATCAATATTTATTGCCCCTTAAGAGATCAAGCTTGTGTCGAAGTTGTTTATTTTTTGCCCTTTTGACATTTGAGGAACTCCTTATATTCATTCTCAATAAACTACTTATCGTATTTATTTATTTTTGAATTGTGAAGCATTCAAGACATAACAATACAAGTCATGAAACAAGTGTTCTTAAAAGGTAATTCCAATTTAGCAATAAAAACAAAAGTATATGGAAAATAACTTGTGATGATGAATATGTGAATTATTGTTAGTTACCGAGGATATAAATCACTCATTGAGATATCATTTATAGACGCATCAGTAGAATTACCTGATCTATTCTTTGATGATTCCATGGCCTCTGATGGTATTGAATTGTGTTCCTGAAGAAGTGAAATTTCTGGATCGAATCTACTAGACACAAAAAATGCAGGCTGTGAAGGTATTGGTAGAGTTATAGAGAAGCTCGTAAGCATGAGAACTATTGCTGCCATTGTAGGCCTATCAGCTGCATCTTCTTGAACACATAACAAACCAATATGAATGCATCGCATAATTTCACGCAAGGATCTAGAAGTCCTCAGTTCTGGATCTATTATATCAGCAATTGTTCCTTCACGCCAATTTTTCCAAACCTGTGAGAATTTGA